TCAAGTATAGCCTAAGAGAAGTAATAGGACCAAGGAAAATGTCTCTATCAAAAAACTCTTGAATATTTTACCACGTAAGTGTATTTAAAGCCAATTTTCTGGGGCTGAGGATTTAGCTCAGCAGCACAGCACCTGCTTGGCAAGTGCAAGGTCATGAGTTCGATTCCTACTACTGGAAAAAAATAAAATAAAATAAAATAAATAAAGCCAATTTTCTTAGCCAGGCATAGTGATGCACATCTATAATCCCAGGATTCAAGAGACTGAGAAAGGAAGATTGCTGCAAGCTTCAGGCCAGTCTGGGCTACATAATGAGTTCCAGTCCAGCCTAGATTACATAATTTGAGACCCTGTCTCAAAGAAAAAGCAGTTTTCAGTTTTCTATCCCTTTATGTAGCATTTTCACTTTTGGAAGGAAATATACCATTCTTTGGAAAAAGAAGATAACAAAGAAAATAATTACACGCAAAGGCCACATGATGATGGGGTTCTGTGGCAAGGGACAGAGTACTCACAGAGGTCATCCAGAGTACTGGGAAAGTCATAGGGCCACCTGGCAAATCAGCAGCAAGGACATATCATGGAGACCTAGCAGTTCTTGCAAAACAGAATATTGACAAAGAAAAGCTAACTCCAGCAGCTGCTAACCATAGCTGTCTGTTCATATATGAAAGCTTTCAAAAAGTCAAATATAGAATCATAACATGACCCAGCAATTCCATAACTCCACTCCTTCATATACTCGAAAAATAGTTGAAAACCAGTATTCACAATCCAAAGAAAGAAACAAAAATCCTCTTGTGCACCAAGGGCCAAAACAGCACTATTATTAATCATCAAAATGTAAATGAAACCAGTACAAATGGCCACCAAACCATGAGTGGATAAACATAAGATGGCATATCAGTACAATGTCATCTTGGTCAGCCATAATGACAAATGGAATTTTAGTACATGTTACAATGTCAAGAATCCTCAGAAGCATTATAAATGAAATGATTCAGATACAACAGTCACATACTGAATGATTCCTCTGTCTTTGTTATTTTTCTCTCATTGCTGGGACAAAATATCTGACGCCCAAAATTAAGGAAGGAAACGTTTATTTCACTTACAGTTTCTGGAGGTTTTAGTCCATACTTCACAGATTACAAGGCAGAGTGGCACATGGCAGAGGGCTACAGCTCCTGGTGGCAGAACACAGCAAAAGCAACAAGCACAAAAGCCAGGAATGGCCGCAAAAAGCCTCTTGCTGTCCCTTACATATGCAAACTATCCACCCCAGGGCAGGTGCAGCTCTCATACCTATAATCAATCAAACTCTAAAAGCCTGCCCCATGACCACATGAGGCTTTGGGGGGTCACACAGACACCAATCATGACATCACTTATGTGCAACATGCAGAGGCAGCAAACTCAGAGACAAAGAGTAAATCCTCTGTTATGAGGGGCTGGGCCAGGCCAGAAGGATACCGAGTGCTTAACTGGTAGGCATTTTTTCCTTTGGGATGATGAAAATACTGAAACTATATAAAGATGCTGGTCATATATTATGAATGCACTAAGTGCCCATGTGCACAATTTTAAATGGTTAATTTTATGGTATGTGGATTTTGCTTCCATAAAAATTTCAGGAGGGTCATTAAGAGCTCACCAAATCTTGAGCTGAGAGTGTAACAATCCATAGGGAATCTTCAGATAATTTCTTTATTCATTCTCTCTCTGTAAGTATTAAATTTCCTCCTAGATCAGGTATTAGGATAAGCCAAATAATACATGGTCTTTGCCTTTGTGAGTTTACATTCTAGTGGTAAATGAAACAGACATAAATCAGCCAAGAAGAACGTAAGTGATAGGTGAGATGAATTACCTGAAGAAGCATTTCCAGGGAGAGGTCAGGAAGATGTCTCCTTTGAAGTAACCATTGAGGAACCTTGTGAAGGACTGACTAGGAGGTAGAGGGCCATTGTAGCAGTGGAATAGTGTTCTGAGCAGAAGCAGCCTACTGGCAGGAAGTTGCTCTATAGAGATGTCAAAATCTCACAGAATGTTTGAGGCTAGCCTGTAGATGTGCAGAAGACATCTGGTGTGAGATAAAACTAGAAAGACAGCCTGAGATAAATTAGGCAGTCTGTAAGACTCATTCATGATCTTGGTCCTGGTCCTCAAAAGAGTAGGGAACATCCCCCAGACAACTTCCCTCCCCTCCGTGATGCTCCATTCCTTGCCCTGCATGTCCCAGCTCTCACAATATGTTTATGTCCTATGGCCTGTGAGTTCTGCACCAGCTCTGTAAGCAAAGGCTTTTCCTGTTCTGAGATGGCTCTTGCCACAGCACATTAGGTGCTCAAAACACTGTTAAAGATGTCCATGGATTTCCATTTTGAAAATGCTTCTCAGGCTGGGTCAGTGAGTTGGTGAGCAGAGAGGCAGAGCACCCAGCTGATCCATCTGTAGTAGAAGGAAGAGGCGGGGTCCACAGCTCCCGAGAATGCTTGCATGTGCGCCGCCTCCTGTGGGTGGGCTCCAGCTGTTTCTTTTGCAAACATTACATCTTACTTTGAAGAATTAGACCCTCATTTTGCAGAGTACTCTGGCCCCCTGAGTCAACCTTTCCAAGCAGAGGTTGAACTATCAGAAGTCAGTGGGTAACACTGCAAGGCTGGAGTTGGCTGGCACATTGGTGTGGGTGCTGAGAGTATAGTCCTATACCTGTGTGCTTGTATTCAACCCACTCTTGATCCTTTCACCAGGAAACCTTAACACCCATCCATCCCCCTGGTTCTCCATATAAATGATATACTTGATCCCCACCCTGTACTTTTCTTACAGATTTTTTTTTGTTTCCTATTGTCAAGATAATAACTTTATCTGAACTGTTGTGATGGAAGGTTACTATGTAATGACAAACTGTGCTGTGATTTCAGCAACAATTTTAACAGGATTCTTATTTCATGATTCCCCACACTTTGAAAATAGCATATATGTATGTGTACAATTTGATATTTATTCAACCTAGAGGCAATGTCCAGTGCTCATAGAACTGCAGACCCTGACACCCAGACAGTGGCCTCAAACATTTTAATTCATGTAGTTCTTAGCCACTGGAGTAGAAAGCAGAAGAGATCATCATCCTCCAAACAGAGAAAGACGAAGTCAATTTTACAAGGGGAGATGGAGTGGTTTTGCAGCTTGCTTTAGGACGGAGCTACTTACTTCGGCCTCCTCCACACCACTTCCCGATTCCAGACAGGTGATAATATCTAATACCTCTCCTTCCAGGAGAAAGGTCCTCCAAGGCTGCAGAAGCAGATTGCTTTATTCGTCAGATTAAACATTCTCTCACTAGTGGGTGGGTCCTAAGGTGGTTTCTAGAATAGCTCACAAAATGAGGAAGAGTCAGAGACCTGCATGAATACTGAGAGAATTCTGCTGGGTGCTTAATAGTTTGTGAGAAGAAAAATTTCTTGATCTTTAAAACATAAGGTACGGGTCTGAACAATGGAGATGCCCCCTTTCTTGCCTTCCACTGCATTTATGTTTTTCTAACAGATTTCTTTGTCAGAGGTGCTGATTTCTCTTTTCCCCAAGCTCGTTAATTTCTCAACGTTAATACATTTCCCTTACCCTCTAATTAGGCACCACTTCTCACATATTTATGGTAGAGAATGCTCAGAGGCCAGGGTGTCTCCTCCATACACATGGAGGCTAGACCACACTTGTGACTGGTGCAAAATCTGCGTGCAGAGGCAGAGCAGGAGCCATGTACCAAGTATTAAATAAAAACTTATGGAGGCCATAGTACTGGACTGAACTCCTCCCCTGGGCCCCAACAGACTAGATTAGAAATCAAAATGGAGTCACCTATGCTAACATTCCACATCACCAAACCAAAACCAAGTTGTTATCTGACCGTCTGAGAAATCAGGAGCAAGAAATAATAGACAAATTACCCAAATAGGCCAGTGGCATGGTAATAAATAGTTCCCTCTGCTTTACCTTTATCAGAAGAAAGACGTAACCTAACATTAACCCATCCTTTTCCTTTCGTTCTGTTGCCCTATTCTCACCTTATAAGAAAGTAACATTGAAAAGACAAATCTGCTCTTTTCTTCTTTCTTCAGTATTTTTCTGTCTATAATCCAGCTTCCTCTGTTCTGCTTTTTGGAACACTTCATTTTATGTAATGAAGTTTTGCCCAGTTCTAGAATTAAGAAAAAGCCAATGAAAATCTTTCAACTAAATTACTGTAACTTCATCTTTAGACACAAGTGACAGTCACAAAAGACTATCTATAAGCCTTTTATTTGCTACATTAAACAAATATTTGATCAACTACTACATTCAAGGTGTTATTCTAGATGACTAGGATTTTTATGGTGAATCAAAGAGAAAATTCTCTGCCTCCCAGAATAAGTCAATAAAATCATAGGCTGAAAGGTGATAACTGCCTAATAGGAAAAGAATTAGATGAGACAGACTGGGAATGCCAGAGGCTGACAGCGGCTTGAGTGTATTTCTAAAAAGGGTGTTGGAAAGATGACCCTTGATGGTGACTTCCAGCAGGAAAGAGCCATGCCGGTGTCTGGGGGGACAGCAATCTAGACACGAGAGACAGAAAATGAAAGACTAGTATGAAGATGAATGTGACTAGAATTATAAGAGTGAGGGGTCGGAGGCAGATCATATGAGAACCTGTGAATCCAAGGACTTAAGATTTGAATGCTATGATCTGGTTGAGTGCCTCTTGAGGCCCGTATGTTACAGCATTCTTCCCCAGAGTGACGCTATTAAAAGTAGCGAAACCTCTGAAAGGTATCACCTGTGAGAGGTCTGTAGTTCTCAAAGAAGACTGCCGGATCCAGTGCCTTCTTCTTCTTCTCTGCTTGCTGGCTTATATTGTGAGTGGTTTTCTCCACCATGCACTCCAGCCATCGTGTACCACCCTTGCAGATACCCAAAGCCACAATCTTCTCTTTTTGTAGTTTAATTGTCTCAGGTATTTTGCTATGGTGATAGAAAGCTGCTTAATTCACTCAGAGTGAAATGTAGGCCAACAGTGAGTTTTGACCAGAGGAGAAATGAGATCTCACTTGGGTTGTATTCATTATAGGCTTATATTTTTATTTATCTAATAGTTTTATACCAAGTGAAAACTAGTGCCAGGATCAATTACATTACAGTTTGCATTTTATGAAGTGCTTTTCCTAATTTTGTCACTCACGCTATGTGTATCAGCTGACATCCTTTTATGAAGCAGAGCTCCCTCTCATCATCCTTGAGTATTTGATTGCCCAGGAATACATTTCCTGCATGCAAATAAAAAATAGACACTTCTGTTGTTGCCTTTAATAGACAATTTTCAAGGGAAGCTTTTTTTTTACTTTTCTTAATTACCTCAAATAGAAACAAATTTATCACGTACTTTAGAGGAATCCTGTCATAGTCCTTTTCACATGGCCCTTTCTCATCACTGTGGTAAATTCCAGCATGGAGCCATTCCTGATAGTGTACCCATGATTTCTGGAAGAAAAAGGTCAACCCTTGAAGAGCCCATACTAATACACAGCTCTTTCGTGGATTTGGTGGTCAGATAAGACCCTGAATAGTAGCTTTTAAATGCCATGTCCCTGCCATACTACCTTCATTATTTAAAGTTCAATCTAAATAACTTACTTTGTTTTTAAGTTTCTGTGAAATTGTGCCCCTATGTGCTTTAGGACCTTGATTCTTATTATAATCCCTCAAAACTACCCAGTGACCCAAAATGTACTACCCCATCCCCAAACTGTCTACAGTCTAATTTTCCCCGAGATATCTTCTTCAAATTTATCCATGCCTATTGTATTTCATTCTTCAAGTTTTCCATCAAAAGTATCTCAATCCTTATGCATGCAACTCTCAAAATTATCTGATTCTACTTTCATTGTGCACCCACATATTTTTGCCTTATCCCCCTATCATTTTGTTTCTTATGTTCTTAGCTGTATAAAAGTAATTATGTTCACAACTACCTCAGCCTTGAGTTCGCAAATGTCAATGTCCTGAGAACAGAAGAAATTGCACTGATATTTTGATTTCTCCCAGTGGTTAAGGGAGTGTCTTGTTCATTGCAGGTCCTAAACATTTATGGAAAAGAATTTATATAGCAGCTGTGGCAATTTTCAAATGCCTACTTTCATTTACATATTCACCTGTTATATATTAAGCACCTAATGTTTCTCAAGTAATAGGTGCTGAGGAGAATACAAAAATGAACCAAGAATTAGACCCCACCCTCTGGGAGAATCCAATTTAAAAGGAGAACTAAGACATATAAGAAAATTGCTATAGTACAAGATGAATGGTAAAAGCTATGACATTAAGAACAAAAGGTTAAATTTACCCTGATGTTTGTTCTTATTCTGCCATGGATATTTTCTTCACTAACTTATTAGTCACTCTACCAATTAGAATAAAAACAACTTTCAAAGGGGCAGGAGGGTTTTTGTCCTATCACTAGAAGAAAAAAGTTGATGGTGTCATGCTGCTGCTTTTCCCGAGCAGAGAACAAAGACAGAGGGTGTCTATTCTGTGTTTTTTTCCTCTCTCGCCAATTCATGCCATCCAAAGAGTATTTAGCAACTTTTCTTTCCATCAACAGGAAGCACTTGTACTTTCATGATTCCTGTAAGTTAGGAATCAATACATTTGCTCCTGAGGTCTAGCTAAAGTGAGTATAAACTCTAGCCTCCTTTAATTTGTCTGAAAGTTCATTTCTGTGTCCATTCCTTAGTTAGGGTCATCAGCCAGCCCTGCAAACACATCTGGGGAGAAAACAAGCATTGCTAAGGAACTGCTTTTGTCTCTAGTTCCCTGCTGATTCAGAATTCACCTTTCCACATCTGGACTATGCAGGGTGCTACCCTCCTTGTTTTAATCACAGTATGCTCCTTGCATCAACCCTGCTTATTAAAACAGGAGACTGAGAACAATCAGGGCTATGCAGTTCTCCCTCTCAGCTCATCTGTTTTCTGCTTGCTTATTCATTCACTTACATATTCATTTATTCAACAAATACTGATTAATCACCTTCCTTTTTATATACTCTACCTGTTCCCAAAAGGATCAGATGTGGCTTCTGGGATCAAATGTAATGCAAAACAGGGTAGCTAGGGATAAAAACAGAAAGGCAAAGACCCTGCCACCAGTGTCAAAGGCAGTTAATATTCCATCCTGCCTCTATTGCAGCAAAAGAGATTTGTTTGACTTCTGAGATTTTGTTTTCTAACCAACCAAAATTCACAAACTTGAGTGAAGAATGTAATTTTTTCCTACAACTAAACATTCATTGAACAACTGGGCAGAGTGCTTTGTTCTGTTATTCGGGTGACTGGAATGAAAGAATGAATTCACTGGGTCCCCAATTTTAGGAATTTACGTTTTACCTTTAAAATTTGTATTAAAATGTATATCTGATACTTATTCTGTACTCTTCTTTAACTATTTATTATTAAAGAATATTTGTCCCTTCTGTAAACAGAACCCTTCCATAACTAGAAAAAATGATGAGAATACAGAAGTGACGTAGCATTTCATGTGCACAGTGACACCTGAGCTGTGGCATACTCATTATACAAGGCAGACTGGAGCATGCTAAGGATTAAAATCACACAAGCCCCAGAATAAGATAGACAATTCTCTGATCATATAGCAAAACAGAATGAAGCCGCACCTCACTGGAGAAAAATCTCACTGTGGATATCAGTGGTTTCATTTTGCTTGTTTTGTTGTTGTTGCTTTGCTTTGTTTTGTTACTTTGTTTCATTTTTAGTACTGGGAATTGAACTCAGGGCTTTGGTACTGAGCTATGTACCCAGACCTTTATTTATTTTCTGAGATGACATCTCCCTAAATCACTAAGTTGCCCACACTGAGCTCAGACTTGCAGTCCTGCCTTAGCCTTCCAGAGCGCTGGGATTATAGGTGTGGCCGCCACACTCATTTTATGTAACTATTTTTCAGTACCATCATGTATGGTTCCCTTTTCCATGTCAGTGCCCTACCTGTGAGGTACTGATCTGTCACCTGCAGCTGAGTTCTGTAGGACAGTTTCTTTACTGTATGGAGGAGGTGAAAACCTCTGAGTCTTACCTGCACTGGGTATACTTCAGTAAGTGCCACGTGGAGCCAGCCACGTTTACCCACTTTAGGGGTTGGCACATATGAGTAACCCCAGAAGGAAGTGTGTCTATCCCCATGAGGAGGTGAGAGTCCACATGAGATTTGGGGAGGCTTTTTAAAGAACAGATACTGAACTTTGCTTATTTGACAATATTACACTGCTTAGAAATTATATGCTGTGCAGAAAAATGAGCAGTTATGAAAGTCATAAAAATTCAAGAATATTTCCATCCTCATATTACATGTCCTGTTTCCAGGTGTTTAGATCAGATCCTGATTCATGCTTCTTCTCATCCTCTAATGTACTTATCTCCTTTGTCACATGTCAGAGACACAGCCCTATAAGCAGAGCTACCCACTTGGCGGGTAGATATACTTAGAGAAGTGCCGGTGACTCAAGGCACCTGATTTTAATGTGATTCTCATGGCATCCAGTTGGGTTTCGTTTGCTTACTCTACTAAATTAGACTTTCTGCTTCATCAGTAGTTCAGCACCACCTCTGTCCTTTCTCTTGCCAAGGTGAATTGTGTCCCTAAAAAATACATATGTGAGGTCCTAATGCTTCATCCCTCAGAACACAGCTTTATTTAGAAATAAATTTGTTGCAGATGCAAAAGTGGGATTATACTGGATTAGGGTGGGTCCCTAATCCAATATGACTGGTGTTCTTAAGAAAAGGAGAATTTTGTGCAGAAAGACAAGTACTATCTCTAATGGTTTTTTAAATTATTACTTTCTTACTCTCTTAAATGGTTTGATCAATTTTACAGTCGTGCATCTGGTAATCTGAGCAACTTTGTTGAAGATACTAATATGTAATATAACAACCTCTGCTAATCCCTATCATTTGGTTTGAAACCCCAGATCATTTTTAATGTCCTTGCTTTGCTTTGTTTGTATTTTGCTATTGTTCTTTTTTTTTACTACTCTCTTTAAAATAAAAAAAGAAAAAAAAACATGTGCCAAGGAGATCATGTAAAGATAAAGTCAGAGGTTAAGATTATATGTCTCTCTATAAGCCAATTATCATCAGAGATTGCCAAAAAAGCACTAGCAACTAGGACAGAAGCATGGGTCAGATTCTCTTTCATATCCTCAGAAAGAACCAGTTGTCAGGTTACCTTGATCTTGGCCTTCTTCCCTCCAGAACAGTGAGAAAATAAATACTTCTAGCCCACCCAGGTTGTGGTACTGTGATATAGCAGCTCTTCCACAATAATCTCTCTTCACTTACTCGGCCCCAAAAAGAAAGAGCTAGAAGTCTAACTATCAAAAACTGCTATCCTTTTTTCAAATAAATTTTAGCCTTATCACTGGCATTCAATACACTTTGACATATCATTCCCTCACAAAACTGTTCTAACAATTTTAAGAAAAACAAGCTACCTTTTGTTTTAAGAAGTTGACACAGATCTGGATGTATTTGGCTAAATGGTTAATGAGACAGCACATCTAATTGCAGGAAAGAAGAAAACGTGTTGTCTATCATTTTTAATATACTGGGAATGTCTGATAGAATCTCATTCAAAAAATTATTCATTTGGCATTTAATCCACCAATTCTTGGATTAAATAAAATCTACTAAGGCAGTAACCATAACTGTTCTATTTTTTAATGCTTACTATAAAGGCTATGGGGATTTTTTTTTCTGTGCCTGGGATCAAACTCATATACATGTTACTCTGAGCTTCTCTAGCCTCTAGCTTCTCTAGCCTCTAGCCTCTAGCCTCTAGGCAATAAATCTAGAGATTTATTGTCAGGATTTCTTTAAACCTTCAATATATGTTCTCTCTCTCTCTCTCTGTCTCTGTCTCTGTCTCTGTTTCTCTCTCTCTCTCTCTTTGTGTTGTTTCTCTGTGTGCTTTGACATTTGGAAGGCTCACATCTATGTTCTAGCCATAATTTTAACTCTTACACTAAATGTAGCTATCAATCCTCCATTTCCTTAAATAATATCAATTCATTTTCACTAGTGAATTTTCTCTTTCCCCTCAGTTCACAGTCAGTTCACAGTATTCTATTTTCTAGGGTCTGCTTTTTTTTTATCGTACTCCTAGTGATCAGTTCATCATTCTCTTCTTTAAAATGTAAGAAAAGTCATTGCATTTCTACCCCTATTCTCACTTATCCCTCTTTTTCCAACTTTTTCAGGTTTCATAAAACGTACATTCTACTCTGCAGCTAGTATCCTTGCATGACATTTACTCTCTGTCCCAAGGTTGAAAGGGTTCATTCTCACTACAAATATTTTGTTTTGTCTTGTTTTGAATTTTTTTTCTAATTTTTACAATTGTATACAAATGGCTTTAAGTCGCTCCCCCAGTGCATTCTCTTAAGTAAAGGTGCCTGGAAAATTTAT